GGTTTTTTTTAAATTATATTTAGATACAAATTACATACTGATGAATTATGAATAATATTTTTTGATCATATTGACATAATAGAAAAAACTGAACTGGTTATTTGAATAAAAAATCATGAGTGCAATTAGTTTTGTTAAAATTTTCGTATTTTTAAAAAATACTTAAAAAAAGGGCTCGAAATAATAGATTTTCTCAGAAAAGAAGGGAACTTAAAAAAAAGAAAAACTTGTACCGAAGGCAGGACGCGAACCAAGGCATTACGACTTTGCGACCGCTCGATATCCACTTGAGCTATTACGATCATTAACACAAGGTCAAAATTTACCTTCTTATATTGTTGCAGTTTTTCGTTGCCTAAAAACACGGACAAAAAGACATTTTTTAAAAATAAATCCTAGCTCGATCGATTTATTGGCCCCGAAACTCCCCGGACACTAAATTTTATGAAAATCGTTGGAGCCGTTTCCGAGATTCCAATTATATATATATATATATATATATATATAGCTTATACAGAAGTCCCATTGAGTAATCTAGTCACGTAGGTGAGAAAAATTATATTTAATTAAAACCCAATAAAAGTGATTGTAAACAAACCGACCCAGTGTGTGATTAAACGTCGGGATAGTAAAAATAAGTAAAGTAATAATTAAACGCGATAAAATCCGTAAATTATAGTTTAATTCAATGTGTAGTGTTCGCGTAAATTTAAGAAATCATTATTGACGGTTCTCATTATTTGCATTTATTTATGACATTTGTGGATACAACAAAATACTTGTTATTGTTTGTTTACAATAAAATGCTTTTTATTTAACAAGTAAGCACAAAATATTGTCGTTATTTAATATTTGGAAAAATATTGTCACAAATTTTTTTTGCCGTGATAATTTTAACAACACATATGATAAAAATGATATTGCATACTTCTATCTGTTGTGATAATTAATATTATTATTATAATAATCAGTATTATCAGTTACAACATTCATGTGAGAACTATTTTTTTCATTTTTTGAATTTAATTTTTGTATTAAAATTTTCAAAATTTCAGTTTTTTAATTTTGTTACTAAATAAGTATTTTGAAGTGATAACTTCTTTAGCATCGTTGTGATTTGAAAGTCTATGAAACTAAAAAGTGACAGTAAAAAGAGACAGACACAAATTCATAAGATTTAACGTGGGAGAAAATGAGATAGGAAGCATTATAGCTCAATGCTCGCGAGAAAAAAGTCGTAAACGCCGCCAAAACGGCGTCGTTTACCTGTATTGTTCAACGAGGTACGAAGTTGTCGTATGCCTAAGCAGGCCTCTATCACTCTTGCTACCTACGTGAAATAATTACCTAAAATCGCGACGCGCCCGGGTAAAATAACGCAGTCAGGGCTAGCGTGTTGGAGGCGATTGAATGTTAAGTTTTTTAACGCTGTTGACGTATATAACTTTTTATAAATATTGTTGAAATAGTTTTTGTTTAGTGTTTAGTATATTTAATTATAGGATAAAATAGTTCAAAAGTTTTAATGTAATTTAAGAACTATATATTATGTATATTACCCATTATTTGATAAATTTTAATATGGCAAAACGTCGTTCCTACTATAATTGTTGCGTGGATAGACGCTAAATGACCAACAAAATATTTCAGATATACTTATCATTCTTTATTACCGAAGGATTTTAGTAGGAAGTTATGAAACGTGAATTTATTTAATTTTTATTGTTAGATAGGTACTTATAGCAAAAAAGAATTAAGTAATAATTTATTTAATATCTACGAACTTTATTACAAAATTTAGTAGAAATTTACTTCACTATCCAAGTATCTACTTACGTACATATACTTGTATTTCTTTTGTATTAAAATATTTTAAGCTGTTATTTTAGCTTAAAATATTTTAAGCTAAAATAGGACAAAACACTGAAATCAAAACTTTGTTTACCAACAAAATTTTTAACTAAGTAGAATACTATTACATTTCTGTTAGGAATCGTATTTCAAGTTTATTTGTTGTTTACACTATCTACCTTTTCCTTCCGAGCCAAGCGTCGCGATTCCCGACGAATGGCCTTGCAAGTTGCATGCGTTAGGCATCGCAGAACTCACGTAGGTGCGAAAATATGGTCTGTCGATCATAGTCAGAATAGGTATTTCACCTAAGTAACCTAATTAATATTTCGCAATGTATTTTGTAACTCTTTATTGACATCCCTCCATAACAACGGAAAGTTCACCGTTACGTAGGAAGAGGAAAATGTGCAAAGTAATACGGACACTCTCGCGCAGCGATAAAGTTTTATTTAGCTTGCGAGCGCGATTTATCTAATTAATAATAATTATGTAGGCTACATAAACCTCGGCAAGCAGTCAACATTAAAAGAGTGAGACCTCTGTACGTAGTACTACTATTATTTATTCTGTGGCCTAAGGAATAAACAAGTCATAAATTCAGTCGTTTTATTCGTCTATTTTACATATCACCTTGGCTGTCAATCAGTTGTTCGATAAAGTAATCACAGACGTTGGCAACGTGATGTCCCCCTTGATTATCTGTGTGATCAGGATTAATTATTCTCAAAGATTATTGCAGTGACTCTGATTCTGATGATGATGATTATGACTTAAGATGTACACCCTAGTGTCAATAAAATTTATTGACACTAGGGTAAAATAGTAATAATAAATTTAATTTATTATTACTATTTTTTTAAATAGCCCAAAATGAGTCTTCATGTTGAAAATACTTAGTAGAAATAAGTATTGGGTGCATATGTTTTATTAATTTTTTTATAAATACCTTATCGATATGTCGATTTAATGTTCACAGCACGAGTCACATCGGAATAACAGCTGTCATTCTAATCAAGCTGTATTTAAAGAACTTTATCGTTCTTCAAGTAAAATCTAAATAATAATTATTAATTGCAGATTTCTACATATAAGATTATTATTATAACCTGAGGCATAGGCGATCACAGAAAAAATACGAATATATTATGTACTTTTTATGTGCGTTTTGGGATGGATACTTGATAGCGTGAAGAGAAGAGTTCATGTTATGAATTCTATCATGCAATATTCAAAAGAAAGACACTGATTAATAGAGCTGAAAAATAAAAGACAATAAATATCGGAAGTGTTCAGTCTTTTACTGTAAAATTTATTTTTAAAATAACAGGTAAACAAGCCACTGATATAAATAACAATTTGTACATTATAGACCGGGAGCTGGTGACAGGTGACGTTCCACGATTTTGTCGTGCATGCCTTTTTAAGGCTTGATAACTAACCCTAAAATATCAAAGATTGTCGGGGCTTTACCCCCGCGCCCCGTTAAATTCTTTGATATTTTAGGGTTATTTATCAAGCGTTAAAAAGGCATGCACGACAAAATCGTGGAACCTGTCACCAACTCCCGGTCTATGATGCCCTCATATAGAAAAGGTTTCTTGAAATCGAAAAATTTACAGTCACAAACCTTACAACAAAATAAATAGAATAACATAAGGACAGGTTAAACTATAGACATCCGGTACTCGCCTACAGTGGTGGGAGGAGGGGAGAGTGGGAGGGTTCAGGGTAGGCCTCCCCTACCATTCCCCTTAGCGGAAATGTATAGTTTATGAGTAATAATTTGTTTGTAAAATCATAACCTCACTTTTTTACACAGGAATATTGACACAAAGTTACTTTTGTAACAGCTTCGCAGCGGGCGGGGACTGCTCTCCCTCTGCGCCTACGGCTTTACAAAAACATTCTTGTCTGTCCTACAGACAAGATTATGTGGAGTCGGGGCGTGTTGTTTCGGTTTTAGAACAGATTCGACGAATCTTATTTATAAAGTCAGGTTGCCCTAAACTCTGCTATGATAGTGGTAAACGAAATAATGTAATGTGGATTGTTACAGAAACAGAAACTTTTTTATTCAATGTAGATTATAACAATACTTATTGAAAGTCACTTTTTTCATTTACCACTATACAGAATGGGTCCCACATATATGCAATAAATGAAACCATATACTTGTTATTGCCTTTGCTGACGATATACAAAAAATGAACGTAATTGGTCCAGTAATTAGGTCAAAAAGTAGAGTTTTAATTTTAAGCAAATTTGAACACTCTATAGAATTGGGTCACTAAGTCAATGATTCAATGAACTTGAATCCTTGAACATTAAAAAGCGACGTTGCCACGCAGTGCAAACTATTGGTATTGCGACATATCGACTGCGGTGTCTTTTGTCGGCGTGCCACCCGCGTGCAACGTTGTCACTATTCCAAGGGGTCAAGGTACGTTGTCTAAACAGAGTGTTCACTTTTACTGAATTTATTTTAATATTTATTTTGTTTGAAAATTTCACTTTTTTATTTTATGGGTTTTAATTTAATATTTAAATTTTCTACACTTCTACGGACTAGTATTACTTGTGGTTTCATTTATTGCATATATGTGGGACCCATTCTGTATATTACTTACACTTATAATTTTGTTTTCTGAAAAACCTTTTGACTTCTCTCCACTGTGACTCAATTTGTTGTATATAAGTCCCGTCACAAATGGATTATCTGGTTCCGAGTGATTAACTTTTTATTAGTGTTTCTGTGTTAAAAAAACAAATTGACATATTTGCGTTCCATTATATGCAATTTTTAGTGAAATTAATTTTTATCGTATTTAATTCAAAAGGCATTTCCGCAATCCAAAAACAGTGTAAAATGTTCGAGCTTAACCCTGACAAACTTCCTAAGTTGAAAACAAAATTAAAAAATCAAGTACTTGACGTCTACTTCATAATACGAGAACAAATTGACATATTTGCGTTTCGTTATAAGCAATTTTTAGTGAAATTTGTTTTTATCGTAATTAATTCAAAAAGCATTTTCGACATTTTAAAATAGTGTAGGTTCAAGCTTAACCCTAACAAGCCTCCTAGACTAAAAATATTATTAAAATCAAGTACCGGGTATCTATAGCCAACCCTGGGGTCATACAAATTTATAAGTCTAGTTGCTTCTTATTTAAGAATTCACCAGCTAAAGATATCCTTTGTAAGAAAGATTGCGCCGGAGTTAATAATAGTTGGTATTTATTGACGTCGGGGTGATCCGGGTATTTTTGTTCTTTACGGATTCGCTCCAACATATATTGCGGTTCACATTTCGGCTTTAATTTCCAATCATTATTCAAAAAATCCTGAATAACTTTCGGTAACATTATCAAAGCTTCTTTTGCCTTTGTAGTACTTGGCAGTTGTAAATGTTCAGACTCTTGCGGTCTTTGAACAACTGTAATATCGTCAATTTCTATATTCTTTTCAGATTCCTTGGCAGGGAATACTTTTTCTACGTCTTTAGACTCTTCGTCTTGTTCAGATACCACATTAGTATTATTATAGTAGCTGTTGATTCTTTCTTTAACAATATCACTTAAAGTTGTCTCATTTTTACTTTTTTCTCTTTCCGTCCCGTCTATGTTGACATAACCTGTCCTTGTTTCTGTTTTTATTAACTCATCTTGTTTCAACTTGTTTTTGTCAGCGTAGGAAATTTCACTTGAAATATTTTCAACAGCTGTATTACGTTCCACCTCACTAACGCTTTCTTTTGTAGAGGCATTATTAACAGAAACATCAATCATTGTCATAAATTGAATATTGTCCTCTTCTTCCAATATTTGATATATTCTATGTACTTCACTGATGTTGATGCTGTAAATAAAATGATTTATCAATGTAAAAATCTTCACATAGTTCATTTAAGAACAAGAACAGATTTCATAAGTTTATTGGTAGATAGATATTATAGGGGTGTATATTTAGTTCATTAATACTATGTGAAAGCTTTAGGCATTTATACAGACGTAAAAGATTAGTGTCTGGGTTCTATATTTAAAACATTTTGTTGTCATTTACAGCCCAATATACAATGACTGCAGGTGCATGAAAACCTCAACCATTTATAAATCAAAATATTGTTTCAATAACTTATGTGTACAGTCCAGTTTGGTCGTACATTTGAAGATGTTGTATAGTTGCAGTTTTGAGTTGGATGCAGTATTTTGAGCACATAGAAAGTAAGATAGCCGAAAATGTAGATAAAATTGTATAACTATTAAGTTTTACACTAAGTATGGTATTGCAAGTCTTTCCTTGAGTGAGTGTGTACCGTAAGAAAGTTGTAAGCGTACTGCCGGTTGTAAGATTGCAATAAAATAAGTAAAATTAAATACACGCGACGCGGGGCTATAAGCAGGTTGCAGCATTTGCTAAATAAAAATGTGTGGTGGAACCATACATTATGAATGGTATAATAGTCGTTTCATTTCAAGCCTTTGTAAGTTACTAAAGAAATCGATTTTTATAAAAACTTATTTTTCATGCACTTTGTAAAAACCATTACGGGAACAAGCGCTTGAATCTAATATATAAGAATCGGGTATTAATAATAACCAGTTTGACTAAACATTTGCTACTGATACAGTTATTATCACAAGACACTCTGGCACTTTGCTTAAAGATCTCGATAGTATCGCCCGAGGTAGGCCTTAAGAAGAACATGGACAATACAAAGATTATGTTTAACGTCCTTACACACAAATGATGGTAGTTGTTGAGATCACTATACTCCAAGTTGTTAACCTAGGGCAAATTCTCCGTCTATGCAAGACAACCTTTGACGGATCCAAATCGGCTGGTGACGAGCTGTAGTGGCAATACGCCGGCCTAATGCCTATGCAGGAAGTCGATGAACGTAGGTGGCTCAAGACCGTGTTTTATCGTGAATTCCTTAAGAAACCTCCAGCAGTGGACTTGTAAGGGGCTGTTATGGTGATGATGATGACTAGACTTCTTATTAGATTTTTGTTGCGATCCTTTACTTTAAAATGAAATATTATACTTTCATCAAAAATCCTAATTTAAATTCTAATAACATTACTTTGTATGGTCACAAGCACTTACCCTTGTCTTGCTTCATGGCAACAATAAAGCATTGTTGGGTCTATGGGATGCGCTTCGGTATTGAAGATGTAACCACCCACGTCCACAATGCACTCGCCATTAGGCGTGTTTATAACAGTGCCATGAACTCCGGGATTGTGAATGAAGTTATCAGGATCAAAGAGCAAATAAAGATATTTGGTTGTTTCTGCCAGGAAAAATGATTCCATTCGATCCTCTTTACGGTGGTCCCGGACATCTTTTATCTGAAATAAATAGATTGGCGTGTTTTTTAAATAGTAAAGTAGAAATGATTTTGGGATTTAGAATGTCCAACATTTGTTGATGGAAACCAAAATAAAACCACAACAACATGGACCTGGCCTAGACTATACAGTCAAAATGTTTCATTAGTTATCGCTAAGATATTTTATGAGCTATTAGCGACAAATCCTCATGGTATATCTCTAAAGATAAAAACACAAAAGGAAAATATACAGAAGAAGATTAGGCAAAGTATTTTGCTCAACTGGTGGTAAATGACCGCTGCCGCAAGTATGGTGTAGCAGGCAAGCTAATAAACCCTAAACGGCAATAAATAATATATACCCTGCTGCTACCATAACACAGAAGGCGAAGGTCTGAAGAAAACATTTATTTCCTAATTACCCCCTGCTACTGAGATACTGCGGGCTGCTGCATATCGATGCGAGATAATTTGACGTATATATTTAACGTTCTAATATAGAAACAAGAAACAGCCGCAAATATCATCAGCGCCGCATCGTCTTCACACGCCGGCTATCTTCATGCATCCGTCGACCATTTTCGAGCCGTTTCTTCAACGCCGCAGCTTCGCCTCTTCTTGCTGTTCCGGAGATGTGTCCCAAAGCGCCGCCGCTCGCCGAGTACGCACGCGCGCCGGTCTGCACCAATTTTATAGCCCCGTCCAGCAACGCAGCTACGAGAAGCTATCCACGAGTCTCACGCCGGCAAATGGAGCGTAGGTACATAATAGTTGTGCATAATATTTTTGATTAATCTTTATTGGTCGGTATGTATGAATTGTAATTGGCTAAGTAAATAAAAATTGTTACTATTGGTAAACTAACGACGTAGCCGGACATATAAATATAGGCAGGGTTACTCCATACTCCATTCGTCTGCAGATCAAAAAATAGTTTCATTTCTCCGCCACTAAACCACTCGGAGTCTGTTAATAGTGGACCTCATATCACCACTATTACGAATGGTAATGTGACTATTGGTATGATTACATTCCTAAAGTTACCTAGCAAAGTATGGTGAAAGACGCTAGGGAGTCTTTATATGCACTATACATACCGTGGCATAACCACACGGAGTTCTGGCGCTATGTTGTATACTCCGCAAAATGTCTTCACCCATCTGAAGGAGTATGGGGTCTCTTGTCTCCCTGTACAGATACATGATGGACTCGATCAACTCCGGTCGCAAGGGATAGCTCTCTCGGGAAGACGACGCTTCGCCCGTGCCCAGATTGTATACTTCGGGCGTGAACCCGTATTGTTTCCACACGCTGTGATAGTTGTGTATTATACGCATCGCTGTGTCAGTCTCGCCTACAACAATAGTAAATATGGTATTTATGAATAAACATAAATGACTTAGTAGTTTAAGAAAAATTTTAAAAGGCTTTTGAAACCCAAGACTATCAAAATACTAAGTTTTAAAAAAATATTTTTTATCAATGGCGATGAATAAAATAGGTTAATCTTTATTCAATATTGATTACAAGTAATTTTTATCAAAAGTCATTTTTTTACCACTGGTTTGGGATAAACCACTGTCCTGGTAAAAACCAACAAGAAACCTCGCGGGACATTTTTTAAATTATCATAAATATACTGAGCCGTCAGTTATTAAATTTATTGTTTAAATTTTTCTCTGAGATACTCAGTTACTTTCTTAGATTACACGGCTAAACCCAATTTTCTTCTTAGTTTGTACTTATAATCACTAAATGGGTCATAAGCATAACATAACAGTTTAAGAATAAATATAATAATAATTTAAATTACTGTTACCAATTAAACTAAGAAGACCCGGCCAATAGGACTCAAGAGATTGAAAGACGGGTAATGTGACGTGTCCCCGCAACATGGTGGCCCACACAAACCAATCGTCTTTTTTTAGGTACTTGTCGATTACTTGCCGCGCTTCGTTAAACATTGACATTAATTCTGGTTTTTCTAGCAATATCGCACCTGCAAAAATGTTAATTAAATGAATTTACGAATCATTTTTTTAAATAAATACAAAGAATATTTATTTTTGGCTTAACGCTTATCTGTTCAATTTTATGAGGTTTTAAATGAAACTAAATACAGTAGAATCCGTTTTGTTGCTGCAGAAGTGCTGAATATGATTGTACATACTAAATATGATAGGTAATGACACTATGTCAATACCTATTAATAATATTATTAGAGCGAAAGTTAAAAGTATTACGCCTCGTCTTCGCAATGACAATGCTGTACCTACGTAGTAACGTAAGTAAGTACGTAAACTATCGAACAAAAATCAATCAAAAGCATACTAAAATTACACAGACTTTTTACGCAAGTAAAATACATAATTTATTAATACATATATTTGTATTGTGCTGTACCCACATTTTCAGTAAAATGTGGGTACAATACAATACAATTGCATGATCAGCACGGCTACTAGTCGCAGAGCGTATCATGATTCTACCGCTCACCTAAAGGGAAGGGGGTCCACATTGTGCGGCTTTCGGTCGCAGCCTTGAGGGTCTCTTCAGATCCCCCTCCACTTACCACTCACATGAGGTGGACCACATATGCTCGATCGGTATCCACAGCAAATGCAGCCAAAAGGCAGTTATAAGATACTAATTTGCAGTTACTAATTTGCCATTAAATAGAGTTTTTGTCACTGACTTATATGCATAGTTTAAAACAATAAAAGTTGTGTATTTCATTAAGGTTTTATTTTTATTTTCATTAACATTCGATTATTGTTTAATTATGTAATCATAGTACTTTTTTGTTATAAGTACATACAGTACCCGGCGACAAATATTGCACATCGGGCTTCGTAGAGCGTTATCTCTGTCGCACGAAATACAAACAGTCCGGTATCTATTACGGCGCCTCTACACGTTGGCCAACACAGTGGCGAATGTAGTGGCCAATAGCATTGGCCAACGTGTAGACGGGGTGTTTAGGCTTCATTGGTATGTATTGAAACGATGGCCCGCAAGTTGGCGCGAGATCCGTGAGGTGTCGGTTTTTTACAAAAGATCAAAGGATTGTTGGCAGAGTTTGGTCGCCGCGTCCACACGTTGGCCGCGCGTTTAGTTTGCTACAAGCTCCCAGAGTGATTACACGCGTCTGATTTAAATTTTATATTCAAGCTTTGTAGGGTGGATGCCCCAATTACCAGACTTTTAGTGCCAATTTCAACTTTAAACATTCCTACTACTTTAATTAGCGCGATTCAATTATATTTAAATATTTGTTTTAATCGATAAGCTATTTATAAAAAAAATAATGAACATTTATTTACAATCAGATTATTACGACAACAATTTTAAAATGATAAAAAAAATGAAGCACGTCGTTTATACGTGGTAGAACCATGCAGTTATATTAGAAGTATAGTTGTAGCACGAATGGGTCGGTTCGACCGGGGAAGGACCACGCTCTCACAGAATATCAATGTAAAATAGTAGCTTAATGATTGTGTGTTTCGTATAGTGACTGTAGAGAACCAGAGACACTTTTTAAATGAAACGAGGCATTTCATCTTAGTCCTCACGGGTGACAACGCATCTGCATTTTGATTCGTAATCGAGGATAGATGTAGATGTCTGTGGGCCACAGCAACCACTTACCATCAGGTGAACTGTGTGCTCGTTTGTCACCCTATCCTATATAAAAAAAGCGTCGATTTCTTATAATTTAATCGTGCAAGTTTTCGAATCATCATCATCATTACAGCTCTTCACAAGTCCACTACTGAACATCCTCCTCCAAAGAAAGCCGCAAAGCATGGTCCTGAGCAACTTTCCTTGTCATGAGTTTTTTATTTATGTGAAATGATGTGAAATAATTAAATTACCAATAAATTATAAGGTGTTTTTTATATACATCAAATGTCTGATAGAAAAGCAAGTATATGTTTTGCTAAACTTTAAAAACAAAACCCAATTTTAAAACATGGACTTATCGATTATAACTCCTTTAACTTTAAAATAAGTTTAGTTCTAATTAATGGTATTTATTCCAGTTTCTGATGCATGTAAAGAATAAATAAAGCTAATCGTATATCTATTTACAGCCCATTAATATTCACTATTCTTTTATAATTATTTAATAAAAACGTTACCCCCACACTTGGATTTTCTTCTGTATCGCGGAGGCAACTTACAAACATAAATTGCGTAAGGACACACATCCAGACCCGAAACGATTATTTGTAGGATATACAAATACTGGTTCCGTGCGGGATTCAAACCCGCGACTCCTGGCACAGTCATTGCCAAGCCACTGCGCCACAGAGCCGTCGTCTAAAATAAAATAAATTCGTCCGCACATTGGCTTAAACTGAACGACGTTCCAACGTGTGGACGCCGTCACCAACTCTCGGCCAATATATTCGCCACTACATTCGCCACTGTGTTGGCCAACGTGTAGAGGCGACATTAGGTCGAACGTCAAAACGTCACATAGGTAGTGTGCAACAGAGATAACGCTCTACGAAGCCGAAATTAGCTGATTGTCTCTTTCCAAAGGTCGATGTGCAATATTTATCGCCGGGTACTGTAACACAATTTTAACCTGTCTGTTTAGTGAGGCGTCCGGTTAGTACGACGTCATGTCGCCGGTCCCTTGGCGGTTGCTTTAACCCGGATTCTACTTTATTTACAATAATAAATATTTCTTGATACATCACAGCCTTCTTGTTTATCATCCTTTAAAAGTTTATAGCTAGATATGGAACTCCTATGCAGTTAGGAGTTGCCTAAATCATTGGTATAGTTGCATCAATGGAGGACAATCCATACTTTTGACAAGAGAAAGAAAATTGTTAAGGTTTTCAATGGATGGCAGTATAACTACCTCATTTACACCAGACGAAAAATACTGACGTCTCGATGTCTGGAGCTGCAATAGTTAATCCGTTTGCCAAGCGTGACAAAGTATAATTATTATTAAAGTATAATAGTAGTAAGCCTAAGACTTCTGGTAATAACTAAAGGTCTACAATCATGTGGTAAAGAAAAAAACAAATTACGCACCTTTAACTAAGTATTCATAGTATGAATCTACACCTCCACCAATACCAGCATCTTGTGCTGTCCATCTTCCAGTCATCACATCTATATGATTCCCCAAGAGTCCTATCGGTGATCTGTGGTGATAGAGTGCTTTTAGAGCATTGTAGGCTACCTAAAATGTTTTAAGAGAATCAAATTTTGTTTAAAGTATTTTTAAAAAAAACTTTTTTTACTTTACCACTGATTTTTATAAAGTATGCGTAAAAAATAGCCAGTGATGGTGGCATAAGCGTCAGATTATCCATAGCCATATTTTATTCCATAGACTTATTAAGGTTTTGGGCGGGGGTTAATCTACTCCTAATTCCCTTTTTTGACATTATCAGTAGGACTAGATTAACACCTATTCTGCTCTCCTGTCTGGCGAGCAGTTTGGCGAATGGCTCTGAGGGAGAGCGCAGGTCGTGTTAATCCCCAGGGCAAGTCTGAGGAGTTCTTCCTTCACGTGGTTGCCTCCTGTCATTTGGTCTGGCTCAATAGGAAAAAGACAGGACAGAAACATTCAGACGATCCTCTTTTTCTTTTCTTTTATCCCACCCCCTTTTTTTCTATCCTAACCCAATCCAAGGTGTTAAGCGTACCGTACCGATGGATGCGTGGCTGGTCCAGTTACAAACGGTGCCTACCCGAGACCAGGGCGATTCGGGTAGTATTTTAGCCTTTCCCTCAGCATGCGGGGCTCTGCCGGGGGTGACAGAATATTTCCCTAGCTAATCGAGATACCAAATCGAAGGAAATGAAAATCGACATTTCGAAAAACTCAATTCTCTTTTAATGATACTGTCTATAGATCTCGAAGAGACTCTTTTAGCCTCACCCTGCAACACAACGCCCCAACCTGGGACGAGCGGTGAATTGGAGGACACATCTCCGAACCACAATCGGAAACGAACTAGGACAAAGAAAAAGGACAAGAAAAAGTTCGCTAAGCCTTACAAGCTTAGTGTGGCAGCACGGAAGAGGTACAGGAGACTGACAGCAGCTGATGTAGGAGCTGAAGAGGCCCTCTCTCTCTGCCAGAAGCCCTGGGACGAGATTCCTTTGTCCAAACCACCCCCAGTTCCGAAGGCGAAAAAACGCAGTCGGTCTGAGGAGTTCCCAAAGACCAGCCCAGGAAATCTGTAAAGCTGGCAACGGGGGAGATGAAGCTAGAAGGAGCAATACATAAGGCAGTAGACCCATTGCCTGTATAATTTACAATAAAAACTTTAAGCTTCTAGCTGTTCCAGAGTACTGCAATGATGACCTGGTTACAGCCTTCATAAATCTCAAGGGATGCACTGGGCCAGAGTAATCATTAGCTTAGCCTATCTTCCCAGAGAGAACTCAGATCCTACCATCGAGTTAGAGCAAGTGTCTGGCGATTGCTCTGGACTAGATTTAGTTGCCCGCAATCCAAGAAAGTTTCGACGTCAGACTTAATTTTGATTAGTCACGCGACGTGTTCCTATAAAAATTGAATATTAGCACTGCCGACGTATAAGGCATCGCCAGTGATGTTATCTGCATAACATTGAATATTACTGGTTTGTAACATATTGTTGATATGCAGAAGGAATAGGTAAGCGATAGCACGCAGCCTTGTTGACCACCAGCATTCACTGGCTTGGAGTTGGATCTTGCACGGTGGACTACGACATTAATGCTCCAATCTGAGAAAAACTGGTGATCCAATTGCATAATTTCTAGAGAATCCCATAAAATTTTGTTTTATAGAGTAAGGGTGACAAATTAGCACACAGTCTACCCGGTGGTAAGTGGATGCTGTGGCCCACAGACATATACATTTATCCTCGATTAAGAATCAAAACTCAGATGCGTTGTCACCCCTGAGGACTAAGATGGAATGTGTCGTTTCCAGTAAAAAACTATCTTTGGATCTCGAAACCACCATCAACATACGAAACACAACAGTATTAAGCTGCTATCTTACGCTGGTATTCTGTGAGAGCGAGGTCCTTCCCTGGTCGAGCCGACCCATTGGTGCTACAACCATAATATAGCTGCAGCGTAGCTCTAACATGTATAAAGCGAATGGAAGCTTCGAAAGAGACGCTTTGTGCCAAATCCAATCAAAGGCATATGCAATGTTTAAACTAACCACCAAGGCTTCCCCATTTGACTCGACCGCCTGCGCCCATAAGTATGTTAGGTAAATGAGAAGATCAAAAGCTGCGCGACCCCGCCGAAAACTTTAATTGAAGATGAATGTAAAGATGATCAGCTAGGCCTAGAGCAACCAGGACACGGAGAGTGTCCTGAAGCTGCGACGACCAGAAGGCCCTATACTGGTTGAAGGGGAATATTAATATACCCTCGACCTCAAATCCAACACCTCGCTGACTTTAAAGAAACAGTTCGAGATACCACAAAGAATCAAATGTGGTCCTTATTACTGATGCCCAAGGTGCCTGGAAGGACTCACGCGACATTGGTCGTATGCTTGCGTACTAGAACCGCTGGATAAACATCAGGGATTAGCTGCTACTCACAGCGGACAAACAGACGGACGGGTGGTTCCTCGTTGTTTCGGTGTCGAAGGATCATATCCCGACCCTGATGAAAGGTGGGCACCGTCTCGCATGTGTATGAGGTTTGAGATATCTTTATTTCTCATAAGAATTTATAATAATAATTCACTTATATGAGAAAGTTTTAAAACACATACAAACAAAAATAATAGTCTTATCCTAGGCGTACACTAATATATCGAATCAATTTCACTCAAGCACATTCAGTTGTAATTATACATGTTTTAGCAATTTTTATTCCTAGAGCAACAAAAATACTAAAAAAAAAAAAAAAATAGGGTACTTTTAAAGTCTTACATAGCCAAAGGCGCAAACAATGCTTGGACGCGCACCTTACACAGACCGAGTGTAGCTAGAAGCGACGCGTAAAATAGTGAAATCAATGTACGCTCAGGTTAGAAGTTAAATAATATTTTAAGTGCTTTCTAAATGTTGGGATTGATTTTGCTTCTTTGATATTTTTCGGTAATTGGTTATACAATTTCGCACCTTCGTACATTAAGTTTTTTTTTACCATAATTAGTTCTTGGGGTTAGGAGGCAAAGGTCGTTTGCACGTCTTAGTCCAATTTTTTGTATTTGTTGTTTCTTTTTGAATGTTATTTGAGTATATATATCTTTATTTAATATTTTTCTTATTAATATACAAGTTTTATATATATATGTTTGAGTAATATTTAATAATTTTGTTTGTTTATACAGTAGATTTGTTGGTGTAAGGAAATCATATTTAAATAATATTTTAATAAGTTTATTTTGTGACCTTTGTAGTGGTTCTAGATTTGTTTTCGCAGCGGTGCCCCAAACTTCAGTCAAGTATTCTAAATGCGGTTTTATAAGAGAATTGTATATATTATATCGAACTCGGTGCGGTAAATATACAGCCATCCCCCGTATGGCACCAGAAAGAGAAGTTAATTTTGTTTTAATTTTAGAAATATGTGGTTTCCATGTTAAGTGCGAGTCTAATATCAGTCCAAGATATTTCTCTTCATTAACTTTATTTATAATTTGGTTATTTATTGTCAATGGCGTGTAGTGTGATATTTTTTTGTTTTTTGCTGTAAATATTATATAGTTTGTTTTTGATATATTTATAGTAAGCCGATTGCGTTGAAACCAAGTGTTTAGAACATCTAAGTCATTTTGTGCGTCTTTAATAACAGAGTCTATAGAATGGCCAAAGTAAAATAGAGCGGTATCATCGGCGTATAACGTTATGTCTCCATTAAGCCCGAGTTCTTTTACATTATTTATATATATAAGAAACAAAAAGAGGCCCCAGAATCGATCCCTGAGGTATACCACAGGTTACAACTCTGGGCCCACTCTGTGTTTCACCGATCTTAACCACTTGCCGACGATTTGTGAGGTAAGATCTGAGTATCTCATGAGCGGTTCCTGCAATGCCAATATCAAATAGTTTTTTTAATAATAGGTCGTGACTAATTGTATGTGGGGCGGTGTACGTTAAATTCCAGTGTCGCGGAGAAAAATTCTTTGATTCTCCACCAAGCAAAGAGGCAGAAAAAACCCGGAAGTCATGGATACCGGGGCCATGGTTACCGGTACATCGGAATCACTGGACGCACAGTCCAGTGAAGAAACGGCCTGTACAACCGAGCCGAAGCCCCCAGTGGAGACTGAACTCAGTGGCAGCTCACTGAGCGATGAAGAGGAGTGCATTTTGCCGTCCAATTCCTACTTGGTGGCGGACGATGAGACCTAGGATCTGGTGGCAGGCTTATTTTTGGGCGGGAACGGGGAGGACGCGGTATCAATGATGGCGTGCCCTTCGTCCAGAACTAGCGTAGTGCAGGCCAACCTCCACCACAGTGAAATTGCGTCGGCTCAATTACGCAAGTGGTTGGAGGCACAAGGGAAGGCCATAGCCCTAATCCAGGAGTCATGGGTTAGGTTAAAAGGTAAGTTATTCTACAACTCTGAGCACGACAAGCCTAGAGCGTGTATTTATACTACTACTGGAGGTGGTGAATGCTCATAGCATACAACGCAGCCGGCTGCGTGGTTATGTTATGTGGAGACTTTACCCACTAAACACCACCTTTTGGGATTGGCTTAACGATCTGACGAGATCTTTAAGCCGTAAGCGGACGCAACCCTCCTTGGGTGAAAGGAGGGCGCAAGCGGCGAGTAGCCGCTTAGAAGTGTGCCTAACTAAGGCAGATTACGAGATGTGTTAAGTAGGCTCGGCCTGAGCCACCAGGAGGCAGTTCAGGTCAGCCGAAAGCTTGTTGGGGGGTCCGAGAGAGAGTTTTTCGGCCTGCGCACACTATAGAGAGTGTGAAGAGGGGCTGCATAGGCAGCTACCTCGCGAATGAGGCGATTTGAGTGGGACTCTGAGGCTTTGAAGAATCTCTCAGATAGTGATTTGAGGAACTGCTGAATTGTCGGGAGGGCAAAACCATTAACAGATTTCCGTTCCAGTGACATGTATGCCGTAGCATTACAAAATACACAGGAGGGAAGATTATTCGTCGCCTCGGGCTACGTGCCGGAGGAAGACACTCCTCCCCCTCCTGACCTCGTCAGGCTGGTGAATTTCTGCGAGGGCCGGACTAAAGGTTGTGATCGGGACGGACTCCAACGCGCATCATCCCCTTTGGGGAATGGAAAAACCCAATGAACAAGGTAAGGTGTTAGTTAAATATTTATTTGGCACTAACCTCACCATTTTAAACACTGGTTCTGAACCAACTTTCACAAATAAACGCTGTCGCACAATAATCGACCTCACACTTGCAACAGAAGGAGCAGCTAAACTAATCGGGACATGAATACCTCAATGGATGAAGACTGGCTACTATATAAGAAATTTAAGTCTGAATACAAAATATGTATCAGGTATCGACGCTCAACAGGGTGGCCTAAATTCTGTGGTAACATAGAAACCTGTGAACAAGCGAATTGGATAAGGAAAATCCTAGCTAAACAGAACACGCCGGAAGCTACTCAACATTGCCGGATGAAACTCAACAGATCCTAATTGAAAACCACTTCCCAGGATGATGACTGTAATTTAGCACAGTGAGTAGTGACGATGGACAAAATCCAATGGGCCATACATAGTTTCCTCTCCTATAAGGCGGCAGGACCTGCGGCATATTCCCGGCACTTCTACAGAGGGGTGGGGGGGTAAGCCCTTAGTCAGACTTGTTGTCATAATGAGAGTATGTCTGGCTCTTAAATATGTTCCTAGGGGATGGAGGTAGTGAAAGTCACGTTCATACCCAAACCAGGTAAGAGCGACTATACAGACCCATTAGCCTCACATGCTTTCTCCTCTCCTAAAGACGATGGAAAGGATGTATGAACGGGAGTTGAGAGGGTCGGCGCTAATTAACCCTTAAATTGATTTCATCCGTTTTAAAGGACGTAGTGAGACACAGATACTGTTTTAAAACACATAAGTTCTGTGACAATACATTAAGACCTTGAATTAGTTATCACCTTCGCGCTCGAGCATGTTGCGATGATGCAGTAGTGATGGGCGCGTAAAATAATCATTTAAAAAAGTGCAACGGTCAGACTTTTTTACGCTACTGATAAATTTGATGATAATAGAGAGTACTTTGGTTGTTTTGTTTATGACGTTGTTTTTTTAGTTAGAATAATAAATAAAGGTATTCTACTGTAATAATTTTGTATAAACATTACACTAGTTAGTGTCAAAAACTTGATTTATTTATATGTCCCATAAAACGGACCTTGCCAACTTAAGCTACTGACTAGGGTATTGTTTGTGTGTCACATGTAACAGACATTGCCAATTGGGCCTACTTGTAAGTGTTTCGTTTAATTGTCCTATGAAATGGACGTCGCCAATAAATTCAATCATATTTTCAACTTTTTTCATTTAATTTAACAATAACATGACTCAGAGATCAAAGAAAATCAAATTGCTGATAACTCTGTCAGATTGTGAAGAGTCAGATATGAAATCTGTTAACGATTTATAAGTCAACCTTGAGTGGCGTGAGTTTTTTCGCTGTGGTATAAGTGATTCATCTTCACCTCGTACATTTCTACCGTATAATATGACTTATTAGCTGATCTCAGCAGCAGCGAAGACAAAAATGGACAGGAATATACCGATCTCGAACATTTTATTACTGAAAACCAGAGACTAGAGACGGCCAGAGATAAATTGTCTCCACACCCCACTAAGTTTTAAGCTCCAGTATCACGTTATATACCTGAAACACCATCACTAATATTTGCAGTAACACCATCCTCAAGTTTTTCCAGACATACACTGATGTCAAACACGGAAACACGTCAAACCTGATAAACGACACTTATAGACACGTCATTTATGGTTCAGCCAGCAGTAACAAAACATTTAATTTAAAAGCGTATAATGAAGAAATTAGATTTTGTATTTCAAAAAAGGAAATATACCGGATCTGTAAATACATCAGTTTACACCAGCTTCAAAATACCGTGACATCCTTATTCTGAAGCATTTTTTTTTTTAAATTCTTCAGCGACGCGTTGTTAGATTTAATAGTTGAAATGACAAATTTATACTCAGTACATAGTAGCAGTAAGTCCATAAGTGTGACGCAAAAAGAAATAGAAATACTATTGGAATAGAAATCATGATGGGTATTGTAGACTTGCTGGTATTCTAAGATTACTGAAGTGCTAATCTGAAGTATGAGCAAAATTGTAAGCTGATGAGACTGACGGCGTTATGATGAAAAAGAGATGAGGAAATTTTGAGGTAGTGTGTGATAATTCCCAGAGTATCCGTGATAAAGTAAATGGACAGTCGATGTATTTATATAGCAAGTTCGTTTTGTGCCCAAGAACCAGTCAGTATTATGAAATGGTACGTTGAAAAACAAAAAAGTGAGAACTTCTTTTCTAACCACAAATTGATTTTTGTATTTGGTATTTTTTAATAATATTGAAAAAATGTTGTATTTTAATTTTTTATTGATTTTCTTAAAGCTTTACTATTATTCTGAGATTTAAGAGACTGATTTTGGATGGTGTCTAATTATAACTTGATGTTAATTGTTATTCATGTTTGCAAACACATTGCTGGCAATGTCCGTTCTATGTGACGTATCTTAGTTAACCATACTTGCACATATAATGGGCAATGTCCATTATACAGGACATCAAAAAAAAAACTATAAAAAATTTATGATATTTGAAAAATGTAATTATACATTTATTTCCTATCCCAAATCCAACCCAAAACCGAGATTTGAATGTATATAACCCAAAGCATCTGGGGGTGACCATTTAAGGGTTAACTTACCGCTACACGAAAAACAACACGCCTATAACTTAGGTAAATCAACAGAATCGGCACTTCACCACATAATAACAAAGATTGAAGAGGCCATCCAAAACAAAGTAATTTGTCTAGGCACCTTCATCGACATAGAAGGTGCTTTTGATAGAACAAACTTCTCCAGCATAAAAGGTGCACTAAGTAGACATAAAGTTGAACCGGCACTGATTGATATTTTTAGTAGGATATTGATAGTAAACATGCTCAGTACACGAACAATAAAGATTGCTGGTGAATCTCAAACAATTCAGATCATGAAAGGATGCCCGCAGGGTGGGGTTCTTTCACCTCTCCTGTGGAATATTATGAACTCATCAGCAAATGAAATACTTATTATTTCTACACAGTAGGTTATGCATATGATTTGACAATACTGGTCTCTGGAAAAACAGCAAGCTTGGTGTGCAATCTGACCCAAGCGGCTCTCCATATAGTGGAGAGATGATGCAGGGAATATCACCTAACCGTTAATCCAAACAAAACAGTTCTAGTAATGTTCACACAAAAACGAATGCTGGATAACTATCATCTCCCAAGTCTTTTCAGCACAAAACTCCAGCTATAAAATTATACTGTGGCTGTATAAAATTATAATTCGGCCCATGATCACATACAGCTCTCTGGTATGGTGGACTAAAACTAATAAAGCCACCACTATAAAAAAGCTTGAGCATCACCAGAGATAGGCATGTATGGCTGCCACGGGCTGCATAAGGACTACACCGACAGCAGCTTTAGAGGCTATACTGGGGCTAACCCTGCTTCATCTACATATACAACAAGAAGCGACTTAAGCTGCCATTAGACTCAAGACCCTAAATCTTTTAAGTAAGAGTAGAGTCCCCATACAGGTATAATTGATAGAATCTACTCAAAAATCTTAAAAGCCAAGTACAATAGGATCACAAAACAATTTGTATTCGATACGAAGTATAAGATACAATTAAATGAAACTAATCAGCCAGAGGGATTGAGTCCAAAAGCCCTTAGAATCTTCTGGATGGTTCTAAGACAAGTGAAGGTGTAGGATCTAGAAGTTTCTCTGAAGACCTTAATATCCACATATGTACACCGCTGGGTACCAATAACACAGTCTTCCAGGCTGAATATATGGGTATCATCCAAGCGGCCATAGCAATAGATGCTAAAAAGGTAAAAGACTTCTCCATCAGAATACCGACCGACAATATGGCGGTACTACAAGCTCTGAGTTGCAATGTAGCAAACTCGGGACTAATATATGAATGCCATCAACAATTAAATGAGGTATGTAAGCACAACAATATGACTCTGCAATGGATTAAGGGACACAGTAGATCAAGGCAGATGAACTAGCCAGAAGGGAATCGGCTATGGCCACTATAGGGCCGAAACCAATAATACTAATCACCTTTGGCTACATTTGTTCACTGGTATGTAGAAATTTCAATAATTTACATGCTGAACTTTGGAAATTTTTTGTAGACTGTAGACAAGCTAGGGAGGCCCTACCTGAAATAAACAGTCGCCTAACCAAAGTTCTAATGAGACTTAAACAAGCCATAGATTAGGATAGTAACAAGTGCTATCACAGGACATGGCTCTTTTAACAAACATTTGTTTACCATGGGTGTTACTGATAGCCCCCTGTGCAGGGCATGCATGGGGGAGGAAGAAACAGCAGCTAATGCGTTGCTGACATGTCCGGAGGTTGCTTCATACAGGACTAAACATCTCAGCGCACCAGGATCGCTCCCCGAAGTTGCTTGCAACATCAAAGGATCATTGAACTTCTTCAGGGAGATTTCATGGCTCAAATAATCACATTATTCCTGCCCATGCAATAGAGTAGTGGATAACAGCCCGTCGTAAACTAAACTAACTAAATGCTCACTTTATGGTAGACCCACAACTGATAATATGTATTAACAGGAATCATATATTTGTAGTCCTAAAAAATAAGAAGAGATCCTACTCATTTTCATACTTTACTTCATATATATTAAAATTAAATTTATTATTTGCTCATACCTCTTCATATAATGGATCTCCAGTAAGTCTACTTAATGTACCAAATTCTACAATAAATGTTCCAACTCCAGCAGTGCATGTTACACTTGTTTCTCCTGGTGGCACACCAGATCTTAAATTAATAGTACCATATGGCATCCCAGTAGCTGTATCAAATGCTGCTATAAGTCTATGCGCCACATCTTCAGCAAGACGTAGAAGAGGGCCATTACATGGCCAGCCTGGTTCTAACTTCAAACCTGTTCTACAAATTAGTAGAAATCATGTTTAGATAATTGTAAATAGTTGATTAATTCTTTAATAGATCAAATTTCTATAAACTTTTTTGTAAGTTTTATTGAAACTAACATTTTCAATACTGATACTCACTTATGAGATAACAGATGTGCACTTAACAATCCTCCTATAATTCTAATATTAGTTTCAAAAACAGAAACATTAATGTCTGTATCAAAATTCTGTTTTTGTAAAACTATATCTACAACTCTGTTGAACTCTGTATGATTGCCTATAATAGCGAGTGTATCAAGTGCATCAATTAATGTAAGGGAGTAACTCCCCCATGTATCTACTCCATCACAACTGAGAGGCCTTAATTCGTCATAAGGGTACGCATAACGCAAATAACTATCATACGCATGTTGAAACATTTCGCGAACTTCTTCTCTGTAACACAAACGGTGAATTTATAAAAAAATATTAGTTACTTCTTATCAAAATTTACAACGTCCCTTACCGAAGCTTTAAAATATCTTCCTTACTATATTCTCTAATAGTTAAACAAGGTCCACAAGCTAAACTTAAGATATAAAACAAACTGAATATTATTTTTTTCATTATTGAAAACATACTTAGATTTTAATGAAATATTAAATTTCTTCAACACATTTGCAGATTAATCACTCTTTTATTAAAACAGCATTATATAACTTTATTGCGTTGGTAATAACAGTAACTCAGTTGAAGTTCCGTAAAATTATTCTCCTATTTTTACATTCATTTTACATCTACAACATAGATAAATAAATATGTAGCAAGCTAATCTACAAGAAATACTTTTGGACAGCTGTCAACTGTCACCTGCATGATAATGACGGAATTGGACCATAGTCCATAGATAAATAAATAGGTATGTAGCAAGCTGGGTATGTTCCGAAATACAACCCAGTACACTGGCAAATGCAAATGACGTCATCAATTGACACTATAGGGGTTGGGGGGCGCGGGCAGGGGGGTTTTTGGGATCCATTTTTTTTTTTTTTTTTATTCAAAATTCTTCTTCAAAAAAAAAAAAAAAAGGGGTTTTTCGGGCTGCGGACAATGGGTTCTGGTCTAATTTTTTTTGGCGTTTAAGGTGCTTTTAAGCGCTTTTTCGGTATTGACGTGCCGCCGCCATATTGCGTCGGATATCCGGCCACAATGCCAGAATTTTTATTTATTTTGTGGCCGTGGAAGGAAAAGGGGAGATCTCCCACCGGGCAAGGTGTTCTGCCCGGAGAGCGGCCAACACTCCGTGTGATAGTTCGGAGATGTTCTATATATACTGTTTATGATTCGGAATGCTGATAGCGTGATTTAGGCTTCGGTGTATTTCGCTTGTGGCGTGACGACAGCGCCGCCACATCACCCCCCTGCTCAGACCGGAGGTCGATAATGCAGTCTCGTTGTCGACGAATGTGCAAGTGCCAGGAGATTGCCTTGTAGTCTGCGGTGAGTAGAGAAGAAGGCAAGTAATCTGCGAGAGTGCCGTGAAGTAGAGGCAAGCAGTGAGGCTCAGAGCCGTGCCGAACACTGTATAGCGCAGAGAGTAGCTTGAAGGAACAGGAAGCATTATTATTCCAGTGCTGCGATGAACCTTGTGAAGCTAGCTGGCTTCAGGATATGAAGACTGCAGAAGACGTTTCTCAGTAGTAAATGGTAGGGGTTCTTGAGGATAATGACGAAATCTTGAAATTGTAGTTTCCGAAGGTTGTTTGTCGTTGCGTATTCAGATCACGTCGGCGTCACCACTGTGGCCGTGGAAGGAAAAGGGGAGATCTCCCGCCGGGCAAGGTGTTCTGCCCGGGGAACGGCCAACACTCCGTGTGATAGTTCGGAGATATTTTATATATACTGTTTATGATTCGGAATGTTGATAGCGTGATTTAGGCTTCGGTGTATTTCGCTGGTGGCGCGACGACAGCGCCGCCACAATTTATTCAAATACAAAAAATTATAGAATAATTTCTGGTATCTCCATTAGGAAGATATAATGATTTTTGGAGCACAAAATGACAAAATAATCGCCAACACTTTTATAATATGGCGTAAATGTTTGACGTCATATACTGTCCTATGTTTTGGAACGAATCACCAGTATAGCGTCGATTCATGACGTCATTTGCATTGGACAGTACACTGGGTTCTATTTTGGAACATACCCTATATATAGCTAAGAATAATAGATAAATAAATATGTAGCAGGCTATATAGCTAATTGGACGGAATGGAAAATATGCTTTAGGTTTTAGTTTTATATATACGTCTATATATAAAACTAAAACCTAAAACATATTCCTTCCTATTTAAGTTGTTCAAAACGACTCTCAATCAATAGCACGCTACAGACTATAAAGTATAAACTAGCGCGCTATTAAATACGCTATGTTACGGCGCGCTGTTTAAAAGAAATGAGGCTGGCAAGCGCGTTAATTTTTTCAGCACGCTATATCTCGTAGCACGTTACATTACATGTCGTTCGTTGGATAGACCGCGTGCTATACATGAACATTATTACGTAATAAGTCGAACTTTTTGACTAAAATAAAATAAAGTGGTAAAGAAAACCCAATGAACCCACTATCATACTTTTCAGGCCTACGACTTTCTATAATCCTAAAAATATTTTTAAGACATGTACACTTTTGTATCTACATTTTATTTACATTTAAAAACATTAGTTAGGCTTCTTTTGTAGCAGACAACTTTGTACTTCGATTACTATATATATTAAATATACAGTATACTACTATAATATAGTGAAAATTTTAATTGAACTAATTGCACTCATCATTTTTATTCAAATAACCAGTTCAGTTTTTTTCTATTATGTCAATAAGATCAAAAAATATTATTCATAATTCATCAGTATGTAATTTGTATCTAAATATATATGTGTATCTATTTAATTTCCAAAAAACCCGGGCAAAGCTCGGTCATCCGGGTACCTAATACCAAATAGCGCTAAAGCGTCGTAGCGCCATGGTGACTACTTACATAGATCGCGCTATGAGATAGTGCGCTATAATATGGCGCTATTCGCTATATTAACGATCATTATAAACCACCATTATACTTTCTATAAACCTATAATATTCTAGTTCTGGAGTGTAGAGTTAAGGAGTACAGACTCTGTGTAAAAAAGTGTCCGTAGGAAACTTAGAATACTATAATACTTGTGTATTATAGTATTCTATGGTAGGGAAGCGCTAAATAAGGGTAGCGCTGCTATAGTTACTGTCTATATTTAGAACTTTTTATAATTTTTTAATTGCACAGACTTGCAATAAGCTACTCGACTTGCGTATCTACTCGAACGGTGTTGTGGAGAGTTTTTAACTGTTATTTACTGTTTACGGATGGACACATTTTCAACTATTCTCCTATGGGCGATTGTCCTCCTTACCTCTATACTCCATGATTCTAATTCTAAGCATAGATTTATATTTATATTTTTATAGTTTATATTTAGCATAGAGATGTAGTAATACCTATGGAGGCAACATATTCTACTATGGAAATAATGGTTATACCGTAGACAGAGAAACCTATAGACAAATTGACGCCTTCTTTCACATTCGCACACGAAAAAGATAGATTTATGCATATGTCTAGCATAGAAATGAGACAGAGCGGTGTGATTGTTTATCCCTTTCTCTAAACCTAAACAACTTTGACAGTTCGTAGCGATCTAAGGAGTTTACAAGTTGGTTTAAGTGAGAAAAAAGTATTTTGTGAGCTTAAGATTGGTGATAGAGCCGTGGTAGCTCAGATGGTTAGCGCTCGCTGTAAATTTCACAGTACGCGAGCAAACCGGGTTCGATCCCCGCCGGCAACAATGAAATTGTTAATTACAATTTTAAGTGCTGATTTACCACGTGCTCGGCGGTGAAGGAAAACATCGTGAGGAAACCTGCATGTCTGAGAAATAAGAAAACAAATTCGAAGACATGTGAAGTTCGCCAACACGCATTGGGGTAGCGCGGCGGACACTTCCTTACCCTAAAAACCCTCTCAGAAATGAGGGGAGGCCTATGCCCAGCAGTAGGACGTATATAGGCTGTAACATAACAAGATTCTTAGAAAATTGAACATTTTACCCAAAATATGTTTAAAGGTCATAAAGATTATTGTATAACCTAAAACTACGTTATCGTCCTTTCTCACTCTAGGCCACGCTAATCATTAGTCTATAGGTTTATCTGCCTACAGGTTATACAAATCTATAATATCGACACACACTTGTCAAAATTACTTTTGTTTCTTTTTAATAAAGCATTAGCTTAATTAGAAAAGGGAGACAACTACAGTTTGTCAATTGCTTATTTTGACAACACTTTCGTGTGATGTCATTAGCTCATCCATGCATGACTGCGTCTCCATGTAAAACGCCGAGTTTTGTGGTAGATCTGCTGACAAACTGTTGAATGCTAAAAATTTTTTGTTGTGTAGTGCAGTGCCTTCATCTTATCTTATAGTAGGTGTTTTTCTTCTATGTATATTTTATTATGTTACTAGATGACCCTAACCACCTAAAATTGATTTGATTGTAACTCTTAATTTAGAGGCATTTCTGAGTTTTTGCAAAACTAACGTACGGCAATTGATTTTTAAATTAAAATAATTTTGTGAAGCATAATTTCATCACGACATGTGTTATAAATTCTTTTATATTTTGACAGTCATTCATTGAATGAAGTTATAATATATGAACTTATAAAATTGTAACTTTTTCAGCATAATCTAAGCAAATAAGTGTCTTACAACTTATTTCAAGTGTAATGGTAGGGATGTATTTTTTAATTATTATTTTATGTAAAATGCATAATTTAGTAATTTATTTAGTCAATAAAAAGACTGCTAACAAATTTTGTAATTATTAAAAATCCCAGTATATGTGTGTTTGTCGCTACTAGATGATAGAGAAAAAACAAAAACTTTATCTTTAAGGAGTGGCCTTCAGTATGTCTCTATTAGAGTCGTTATTTAAATTATTTAAAAAAATCTTATCAATTGCTGTATTACTATTGCGGGATTTGTGGCAGGAAATGGTTCAAATACCATGCAAGAAGAAGCAGTAACAAACTGTCTTATAGAAATTATATTAAAAAAATTGTTCAGAAATGAATAAATAATAATAGTTTATATTAAAAGCTAACATGATCATGGAATGGTGGATGAAATATGATATCCAGGATATCATATTCTTTTTCGAATTTTGCGAAAAATAATGACATTTTTCATTTAAAATCTGAATGAATAAATAAAATATGATTTATAACTTGCTTGTATAACTTACTATTTGTGATAAATTATGTGCAGAACAATTAATAATAACAATTAGGTAATAATAATTAAGTATTAATTTTTAAAACAGTTTATTTCATTTTTACTCAACGAATCATTATTATTTTATATTAAAATGCTATAATATGGGATCAGGGATCTCCATCCCAGTAATTTTTTAAACACAAAAGAAGGATTTAATTTCTATCTACACAAAGCCATAATCTGTCAGTCACATTTATTCGCCAGATAAGTTATTTGACAATTGAAAATTCAGCCCTGTATCTATGTAA